AAGCATACATTTCACACTACTGTTCAAAAGTTTGGGTTTATTTTTTTAATTCATACTTTTATTTAGCAACGATTCATTAAATTGGCAGTAAAAACATTTATAATGATACAAAATATTTCTATTAAAAAATGCTTTCTATCTATTAAAAAATCCTGGAAAAACTAATTTCACGGTTTCCACAAAAATGTTAAGCAGCACAACTGTTTTCAACACTGATAATCATAAGAAATGTTTCCTAAGCACCAAATCATCATATTAGAATGAGCATAATTCTTTCTAAAACATTAAAACATCTTACAGACTCCAAACATGTGGATGGTAGTGTATATTTACATAAATAATTTTATGTTTCTAATTTCAACAATATATACAAATTTACAGCCAATCCTCAAATTGAATGCAGGAAGGCATTGAAGGATACATCTATTGTATGCTGGCTTCAGAAAGCAACCAGATGAAGGCATTTTAGTATCCTCATATTCAGATTTGCCTTGATCCCTTCCTACCTCCTTGTATTGCCTGCTAGTGCAGTGTTTTTTAGGTTGTAGACACAGCCATTATGTAACTAAGGAATCACAAGATGCTATTTGTACAGAAAAGTCAGTGTTTTTTTTCAGCAACTGTAATTTAATCAGATATTTGCTGTGCCCTTTTGGAGTGGTGACATTAAGGGAACATGCCTTTTACTACTTGCATGATGGTTTGAGGTAGCATCTAAACTGGAGGCATGATTTTTGGATATGTTCTGTCGGGCGCTGCTTTTCCTCTGGCCCTCATGGTTCTAGTGTGGGCATAGCATGTGATTAGGAATCAGCATCTGATTGGGAATCAGCATCTGATTCCCAATCAGGAACTCTCAGCCAACCAGAGTGTGTTCCTCTTCTACAACCTCTCGCTTTCTGAGACCAGCTCACCTCAGTGATACACACATGGATGGACTCAAGGGGTTTCTACTTCCTCTATATAAAAAATCAACAAAATAGTTAAAATAGCAGGTAGGGTGGGGTGATCTCCATATTTCCAGTCTTTTGACTTGTTATCTTGATATTTTCTCTTAAATGGCTTAAAGCTTTTCATTTCAGAGGAAACTTTAAGGCTGGTGTGGTGTGTAAAATTCAGTTTGAGATTCTTTAGCATTTTCCAATTGGATAAAAATGAATATTAAAAAAAAGCAGTTGGCAAATGGATTAGGAAGTGCAACTGACCAATGACTTTAAAAGTTGTGTTTAGTAATGTTAAAGTATTATTTTATTAAAATGTTAGTAAATAAATTATTTACTATATTTTATATAGTAAAATTTACTATGTATAATTATATTATAATATTGTTTATAATAATATTAGTAATTGGATTAAAAAGTATACTAAATAGTACTTTTAACTTACAGTATGTCTATTTGTCAATTTCAAATCATGTATTAATGCGTTATTTTATTGTTACACTTAACTTTTTAAATCTGAATTTTTAAATGTCTATTTTCCATTTTGGTAAGTAATTTATACGTTTACATTTTTATTGTTTAATAAATTTATATTTTATTTTATTAGTCCTCCATTGATTATTTTTTTAATAATCGAGCTATATAGTACTGTTCAAAAGTTTGGGTCTGTAAGATTTTTTAAATGTTTTTTAAAGAAGTCTCTTACGCTCACCAAGAATGCATTTGTTTGATGCATTTGTAATATTGAGAAATATAATTACAATTTAAAATAGCTGTTTTCTAAATAAATGTATTTTAAAATGTCATTTATTCCTGTGATGGCGAAGCTTTATTTTCTGCAATCATTACTCCAGTCTTCAGCGTCACATGATCCTTCAGAAATCATTCTGATATTTGGTACTCAAGAAACATTTCTTATTACATTTCTTATCAATGTTCAAAACACTTGTGCGGCTTTTTGTGGGAACTGTAATACTAGCAGAATAAAAGTATTATTTTTTATTTATTTATTTATTGTTAATATGAAAAAATCATACTGACCCCAAACTTTTGAAATTGATATATATATATATATGTATACAGTATACAGTATATATTTCGAAAATATTTACATGTATATATTTATATTCATATAATTTACATTAAATATAAATATATTTAAAATATAAACATAACATATTTTTCTTAAATATATACATGCATGTGTGTGTATTTATATACATAATAAATATACACAGTACACACACATATATTATGTAAACAAAAAATGTAAACTTTTATTTTGGATGCGATTAATGACGATTAATCATTTGACAGCACTAATATATGTATATATATATATATATATATATATATATATATTAGTGCTGTCAAATGATTAATCGTCATTAATCGCATCCAAAATAAAAGTTTACATTTTTTGTTTACATAATATATGTGTGTGTACTGTGTATATTTATTATGTATATAAAT